CCAAAATAATTGGTTTAAATATGGGAAAGGGTGGGGCTGGAGATGGCTCAGTGGTTAAGAGCACTTTTTGCTCTTCCTGAGGACCTGAGGACTATATAACCACCCACATAAGGCAGCTCACAAATTTATTAGACACCAAGAAGTGTCAGGCAAAATTCTGCCTTCTCAAGCTTTACTTCTGGTCAGAGGAGTCAGAGGTAAACCAAGGCCCTAAGGCTAGCATAGGTTGTTCAACTGAGAATGAGCAGGCAGGCTGTGTCCTCAGTGGGCAAGAAGAGTGCCCCAAGGCTAAGCCAGCTTGAACAGATCTCATACTTGGCCTGTAACTCAATTGAGCAGAGAAATGTCAAAGTAGATGAAAGCAAGCTGAGGCCTCCTCAACTCCGGAACCTCACTGGCTGGACTAGGCTGTGGCTCTGGAAGTCGTAAGTAGGTTTTGGATATACTCTGGATTGCAAATACCAGGTAAAACAGAACTATGAGTGAATCGAAGATTTCATGGGACATTGCAAATGCCATCTGATTTGTGTTGTCATTTACTGATTCACAGACTTAACTCCTCCATGTTTTTGGAGTTTCATATTCAGAAATTGATTATGGCTGTTAAGCCAAGTTCCTTAAGGAATGCACAGAGACAGACTTCTTGCATTAAGATGATCTGAAAGTACACAGTCTTAACCCTCCCACCCCCAAGTAAAAGAATTGGGGACCCTGGGTTCGGGCTCAGGCTTCAGTAACTATGTGAGATGAAATCAGAATAGGGTGGGGACTACAGGGGTGGGTCTGTTTGTTGCTTTGCAGGAGGCAGCAGGAGTCCAGATCTTTTAACTGCTTCCTAGTCATAGCTTCCCCTGCCAGCGTCCCCCACCTGTTAACCACCGGATTAGGGCGCTTCTGCCTCACTTCCATCGCACCCCAACTCAGCAGTAGTGGTCAGGATGTATTATTGCAATGGCTCATTCAGTCATCTTTCCCACTAAATCTAGTTTTATTCACTGATACATGTTGGACCGCTGCCAAGGCATATAGCAAATATTCAGTGTGTGTGTGTGTGTGTGTGTGTGTGTGTGTGTGTGTGTATGTATGATAACAACAGACATGGAAAAGCAGTATTTGAAAAACAAGATAAAATTGCCAATATTTTTTGGAGCCCTGAGTTGCATTTCAGTCCCCCTCCTGCTGTGGACTGGTTCTGAGATCCCGTGAAGTTCCTTCACCTCCCTCATTGCCTGTGCAAGCAAGTTGAATGGGAGAGAGACACATAGTTTCTTCAGAGGATCCTGGAGCAGTTCAGCTAACTCTCCCACATTGAGACTCGCATTGCGGGAGGGTGTTAAAGCTCACAGCTGAGATGCCCCACCTTCCCACCTTTCGGGCTTGTTGGAACCTTGGCATGAATCATTTCTGATGGATTCTTCCTTTGTTCCAAGGGTGAATACAACTAGTGTGAACGTATTGGGTTTGTCTAGACATTTAATGATAAACAACCTCCCTATTTTTCTGTCTTGGTTTTCAGCGGCTTGTGCTAATCAGCGTCCTGACCTCTTCGGTTGTGTTATTGCCCAAGTTGGAGTGATGGACATGTTGAAGTTCCACAGATTTACCATTGGCCATGCCTGGACCACTGATTATGGGTGCTCAGACAGCAAACAGCACTTTGAATGGCTTCTCAAGTATGCTTTCTTTGCTGTTCATGTATATACTGTCAGAGATCTGATATTGCAGTAGTGACCATAGTTAACAGGGTTAGTGTTTTGGGCTTTGATTTGCATATAATTTATAGCACAATAGAGGTTATGGTAATACCTTCCTGTTTTGTTTGTTTATGGTGCTGTAGATTGAACTTGCACATGCTAGACAAGTGCTATAAGCCATAGCCACACCCCAGACTCACTATCTTCCTTGTTTGAATATGGTCTCTAACAAAAAGAAAAAAACAGTAATGACGGTTATTTACAATTTCTGACAAACACTAGTCTAGGTTATGTTATGAAGGGACTTGGCAGATGAAAGAAGGGTTAGGGTCCCCTAGAACCTGAGAGCCATTCTGACCCATTGCCATGAAGAAGTGGAGAGCTTACTCCTCCATCCACATGAGACTAAATTCTGCCAAGATCCTGGGTCTGGAAGTAGTTCTTTTCCAGAGTTCCCCAGAAAAAGTGCTGGTATCCCATACCTTAATTTGGCCTTGAGACCTGAGCTCAGGTAGCCCAGACTGAGTGACATAAGTGTTGTTTGAAGTGTTGGTAGTAAGTTGTTACTGCACTTTTTTATACAAAAAGGTATAAGACCTTATGTCAATGTAGAGATTTCCTTTGTAAATCAAGAAATCAGGAAATAAAAAAAGTATACAAATACAGTTGAACCTTTTTTGTACTCAGTGTAACTGAAGTTAACCGACTATATGTAGCTTGGGGACTAAGACCTCTCAAAACACAAGAGCATTTTGAATTGTACATTCCTACTTGGGGTTTCAGTGTATCTTGCTGCCCCAGGGCTGAATCTTCTTTTCCCTCCTGCCAGTAGATGAGCTGGGATTTCAGCCCTGCACGTTAGTTACAAAGGTCCTTAAGGGAACTCCTGAGTATGTCCTTATAGCCCGTCCAGAATATTATAAAACATCTCCAAAAGAGCTGAATCTCCAGGATACAGAATGCCTAGGTTAAATGAAGCCTAACAGAGTGTCCTTTCACAGAACTTGTCCGCATTTTTAATAGGCAAGGTTTCCCACACTTGTGTCCACATAGAACCATTGTGCAGAGGCCAGAGTTGGTCAGAAAACAGATCTACTGCTCCCAGCCATCTTAGGTAGTGAGAAACTTAGCCCCAGAATGTTTTATACTTTAGGTGATAATCTGAGCAGAATTTACACTGCTTTTATACTTCCATTTCAAAGTAAGAGACTTTAATTATTGGGGCAAAATATGAAGAAATAATACCCAGATGTTTCTCTCACTTAACTATTGCTTCTTTTCTTCCTTATCTTCTCTCCTCTCCCCTCTCCCCCCTCCTCTCTCCCCTAGCCCTTCTCCTCTCCCCCCCATCTCCCCCCCCTCCCTCTCCCCTCCCCTGTCCCTTCTCCTCTCTCCTCCCTCCCCTCCTTTCCCCTTTCCCCTCTCTGTCACTTGCTCTCCTGCACGGTCTCTCAGCTTCTTCCAGTCCCTATGCAGGGAACTCGGGCTGAACTTGATGCCTTTGCAGTTCAAAGGTGTTCTTCCCCTCCCCCCCCCACCTCCCCTTACAGCAGGGTCTCCTGCAGCACCAGCTGGCCTGACCATATTCTCACAGAGATCTGCCTGTCTCTGCCTCCCAAGTGCCCACCCACTTACCTTATTTTTAAACCCTTTCTTATCAATTTACCTTTGAAACTGTGCTTCATAAAGTGTCTCCTCTACTACTTTCTTTCTTCACCAAAAGTGATTTCTTTGCTCAAGGCTCCTCAGTATGCAGATCAACAGTAAGGCCTAGAGAACATAAAAGTGTCCTTCTGTTCTAGTTAACTTTCTGTTGCTGTGATAAAACACTGACCAAAAGCATCTTGGGGAAAGGAAAAGGTTTATTTAATTCACCTTTCCATATTACAGTCCATCATCAAGGGAAGCCAGGCCAGGAACCTCGAGGTAGTACCCGAAGCAGAGACCATGGAGGAATGCTGTTTACTAGCTTGCTTCCTCTGGATTAGCTACTTTTCTTATCTAGCCCACGTCCACCTGCCCAAGGGTGGTACCTCCCGCAGATGGCTGGGACCTCCTACATCAATTAGTGATCAAGAACATGCCCCACAGAAAAGCTACAGGCCAGTCTCATGGAGGAAATTCCTCAGCTGAGGTTCCCTCTTCCCAGTGACACCATAGTTTATGTCAAGTTGACAAAAACTAACCAGCACATTGGCTAAGACCACAGCATTGAGCCTGAAATACAAGCATGATAGCTTTTAGAGAGCTGCTATACATGGTGGGTTCCAAGTCATTCAACAGAAGAGAAACAGGTAAACAGATACTATGAAAATATTAAACTCAAGACAGTTGGGTTATTTCAGAAGCCCTGTGAGTTCCTTTTTTCTATAGCCCTCCAAGGTTAGAGCCAAGTAAATGAGCCAGCTCCCAGTAATCGTTGGCTACATGCCCCTTGCAAGTGAAGAGGCTGGTAAAGCACATAGGTCCCCATATGGTACAGTCTTCCTAGGCTGTTCTCTGGAATAGCTCAGCTCTCCGTGGCCACTCTATCTCATGGAAGTACCTTTACCTTGCAGATACTCCCCACTGCACAACGTGAAGTTGCCTGAGGCCGATGGCATCCAGTATCCATCCATGCTCCTCCTCACCGCTGACCACGATGACCGCGTGGTCCCCCTGCACTCCCTGAAGTTCATCGCCACACTTCAGTACATTGTGGGCCGCAGCCGGAAGCAAAGCAACCCTTTACTCATCCACGTGGACACCAAAGCAGGCCATGGGGCTGGGAAGCCCACCGCCAAAGTGATAGAAGAAGTTTCAGATATGTTTGCATTCATAGCACGGTGCCTAAACATCGAGTGGATTCAATAAATGGGATTTCCAGCTCCCTCCCAGCAGCCACAGAAAACCTCAAGGGCTTTCACACCATTCTGACCAATGAACCACTGGGCAGAATGCTGCCCTGCGTGAGCACCGTGCCTCCGCTCACCAACTGCAGCCACGCAGAACTGCTGTGGGAATTTTATCTTTTCTAGGCTTCTCCTTTTTAGTGGGCCCTTGTTGTTTCTTTCCACTCTATACAGGCACATATTTTAAAAAGGATTTGAAAAAAGGCATGCTTGCATAAAAAGCTAATGAACATGTTGTGAATATTAGATTTCTGTAATAAGGGTCATAGTTGGGCGTACTCATATATAACAGTTCAATGAATTTGCTTCTATAACCATAATGTACATCATTAAATAAATATGAGAACTGTTCTCAAGAGAGAGACTTCATCGCAATACTAATAGATGCTATTTAAGAGTGGGAGGCTTGATGGGCTGGAGAGTTCGCTCAGCAGTTAAGAACACTGACTGTTCTTGCAGAAGACCCAGGTTCGAATCCCAGCACCCACATGGCAGCTAACAACTGTCTGTAACTCCAGTTCCAGGGGATCCGACAGCCTCTTCTGACCTCCATGGGCATTGCACGACACGGGTGCACTTACCTACATGCAGGCAATACATGCATACACATAAAAGTAATAAATAAAATTTTGAAAAAAGAGTGGGAGGCTTGGAACTGGAGAGATGGCTCAGATAAAGTGCACTGACTGCTTTTGCAGAGGACCCAGGTTCTATTCCTGGCACCTACATGACTGCTAACAACCATTCCCAACTCCAGTTCCAGGGGATCCGACACCCTCTTCTGACCTTTGCAGGCATTATACATTAAAAGAGTGGGAGGCTTTAGTTTTGGTTCCTTTGCTGTGAGAAGCAGCCCTCAAAATGCAGGTGACTGAATGTCAGAATGAAACATTTTACCTTTATGCACCAAGTTAGTTTCCAAACAATTAGTCAGAATCTTGGTACTGAAAAAAAACTAATCCACCACTTTAATGGATACGTCTGTTAAAGATGGCCCACTGGCTTTACCATTATTCACCCAGATGAAGATCAGAGGCTTTGGTTTGGATGCATCTTTAAAAATCTATGGACTAGGACTGGAGAGATGGTGCCTTGGGCAAGAGTATTTGCTCTGAAAGCCTGAGGGCCTGAGTTCAAATCCTCAGCACCCAAGTCTAGCCATGACTGTGAGCACGCCTGTAGCCCCAGAATAAGGAGGCAAAAACAGGCAGATACCCAGAGCTTGCTAGCCAGCCAGCATAATCAAAACTGAGCTTCCCATTCAATAAGAGACCCTATCTCAAGGCAGTAAGGTGGAGAACAATAGATGACGCTTGGGGCTAGAGAGAAGGCTCAGCGGTTGGGTGCTCTTGCAGAAGACCCAGGTTTGCTTAGCTCCTGTAGCTCCATTTCCAGAGGATCTAACTGTCTGGCCTTCACGGGCTTCAGGCACGCATGTACACATACATGCAGGCCGAACACTCATTAAATAAATCTTAAGACACCTGATGTTCTGTTCTGGCCTCTGTATGCACACGGACATGCACATACCTACATACTCACGCATATGCTACCTACACACATACTCTATGGACTTTTGGAAAATTAAGATTATTCGCCTTTTTGATGGCCTGTGTATTGATTTGGTTAGAGTATTCCTGGAAATTAGAGACTGGAAGTAAATTACCAAGACAGATACATTTATCTAGCCTTATCTTACAATTGGAAACCTCAGTATTGCCCAGGGTGTTTCCCCTCACCAACTACTTTGCAGAAATATGGTTGTACTTATAAAAAGCTTCAATTTGTGCCCTCTCCCAATAAATTTCAAGGAGACATTGTGCCATTCCTCAGGCCTAAGCCTTGAAAAGAACTTTGTAGGTGTGTTTAACCTTTCACAAATACTGCTCCTTTGTTTATCAGTTTGGAAACGCAGTTTTAGTTTATATGAAGAAAAGCCTTTTTGTCTTGCTTTATTAGATGTGATTAAAATACTACCTTTTTTTGTAGTATCTTAACCTTACACAAAAAACTTGCAACACCAATCATTCCAATGACTTTTACCAGTAAGTCCCATCTTCTAGATCATAACACATATGCCTTTAAACATTGTCTCCATTTTTTTCAAATTGTGATCAAAGATAAGATGCAGGATTTTCTTTCATGTCTGTTACTACACACCAGCACAGCTGAAAAATGGGACAAGGTTTGCTCTTTCACTTCTAGAATCATGCAGGGACATGGGCTGGAAAGAGTAAACACAGCCAGGAAGGAAGCTAGAGGTCCGGACACCTTGACAGAACTTCAGGGCTAAGGACAACAGGGACTTACAGTGAAGACATGCTAAGTAAAGGGAGGGCTGGAGACATGGGTCACGGTTAAGAGCACTGGCTGCTCTTGCAGAGGGCTAGGGTTCAGTTTTTAGCACCCACATAGTGGCGACAAGCCATCCATAACTCCAGTTCCAGGGGATCTGATGCCCTCTTCTGGCCTCTGCAGTTACTGTACATATGCGGTACACTTACATACATGCAAGCAAAACATACAAATAAAATACAAATACATAACAACAACAAAAAGAAGCCAGGCCCAAATGACCATGAATGGCTCTGTCCAGAAGAGGCAGCAGTGGGTCACGGGTCATCACATTGTGTGCCTGGAGTGTGTACACTTTGTGCTATGGAAGCTATACTTTAATAAAGATGTCAAACAGTCTCTGATGGTAACAAAAAAGCAGCAATAACTTCTGAAAGGGGACCCTTCAGGAACTGCAACTGGAGAACTGCAATGCCAACTAAGAAAGGCGGCTGACAGGGAGCAATTGAGATAAAAAGCTTGCTTGTCGAGTGTGGCTAGGAGGATAGGGCTATTTTAGGAAGGGGCCTTTATGTCAGAGTTCGCATCTCAGGGCAAAGCTGTCCATCTTCCTCCAGTGAGCTTGCTCCTTAGATGAAAAGTCAACCTGCTGACACCCTGCTCAGAATGTGCCCTGTGTTACTGACTTCAGTGCTCAGCAATGCCAGGCATCAGTAGACTCCACTGCAGTGCAGAGGCCATCAGGGAGCCCCAGGGTGGACTAAGCCCACCCCTAGCTGACTCCACTAACCTTGGTAAATGACTGGGCTCCTGTTCTGTCAACAGAGCAGGGGAATATGGGTGGCCATTTGTGGAAATTCTCAGCATCAACCCTTGGAATTGTAAACAAATGATTTAGGAAGTTTTTCTCATGAGTTGGTAATGAAAATAACTCTTCTAGTAACAAAGGAAACCCTCTAGTCGTTTCTATGAGACAAAGTGTGGTTGACCTGAAAAGGTAACATCAAAACGTGATAACCTCACAGGACAAGAGTCAACGAATGGGCCTCACTACTAAGACGCTTCTTACACCACAGGATGCACCCAGGGAAGCCAGCAGAAAACCCACAGAACGGGAGACAATCTTCATCAGTGGCACATCTGACAGAGGCTTAACATCCAGAACATATAACGAACTCAAAAAACAGAATCAAGACAAGAAGCAACCCAATTAAAAGATGGACTAAGGGGCTGAACAGAGAGTTCTCAAAAGAAGAAGTAAAGATGGCTATGAAGCATCGTAAAAGATGTTCAACATCTCTTATAATTAGGGAAATGCAAATTAAAAACACTTTAAGATTTCATCTTACTCCAGTCAGACTGGCTAAGATCAAGAGAACAAATGATACCAAATGTTGGAGAGGATGTGGGGACGGGAACACTCATCCACTGCTGGTGGGGCTGCAACCTGGTTCAACCCCTATGGAAAAAGCAGTGTGGAGAACTCTTAAAAAACTACAAATGAACCTACCATTTCACCCAGTTATACCACTCCTTAGCATATACCCAAAGAACTCATCCTATTGCAGAGACACTTGTACATCCATGTTTGTTACTGCTCTTTTCACAATAGCTAAGAGATGGAAGCAACCTAAGTGTCCCTCCATTGACGAGTGGATAATGAAAATGTGGTTCATTTATATGATGGAGTTTTACTGAGCAGTAAAGAAAGATGAAATCATGAAATTTACAGGTAAATGGATGGAACTAGAAACTGTACTAAGTGAAGTAACAGAATCAGAAAAAAAAAATCGACATGTTCTCCCTTATATGTGGATCCTAGCACCAAACCCTGATAAGTGAGTATGTATGCAGACATAATTACAGGAACCAGGATAATGGAAAGGAAGTGGAGGTAAAGGAAAAGAAAGAACCTGAAAGAGAAGAACAGTAGGAAACAGGCCTTAATAAGGGAGATATGGATAAAAATTGGGTTAGTTTATGGGAGGGGGGAGGGAAGGGTATACAAGGATCCTAGGGGATAAAGGGAAAGAAGGAGCTCAAGGAGGTAGGACCATAGGAGCAGGGTATTATTAAGGGAGAAGGGGGAAATGGAGGCACCTTAAGTGGGAAAACCATGATGGATGGGTGAGACAATGCAAGA